CCATCACAAGCCAGCAAAACATCCACGAAACAAAGAAAGGTCTGTCACAGCCAAAAAATACACTCCAGATATATATATATAAACAGTTTGTCACAGCCCCTCGTTTGTTGTCCTCTTCTCTCTCTCTGCCTACGGTTTTACCGGGCAGTTCTGTTTGTGACGATATATATATATATATATATATATATATATATCGTCACAAACAGAGCGCACTTTGCGAAACAAACGATAGTGGAGTACATTATACTGTCACATAACTATGAACTAAAAGAGCGCACTTTGCGAAACAAACGACAGAAACAAAAAAATAAAAAACAAGACAAACATGAAGGGCACACTGAAACCATTCATTTTTCTCAGATTGCAAGGTAGAGATGGCAGTGACGAAAAGCATCAGAAGAGCGTCGTGTACGCCAATGCTCTTGCAACCGTTGATGTGCAGAATGCATCGTGTGTCCAACATAAAAACTTCCTGAAGGCATATGTTTTTGTCCTTTCAGGTAAGCTTGGTATTCTAACTATGTACATTCATGTTGTACATCCCTTACATGTACATTTCTTGTGTACAATCTGTTTTGTCTATTCGTTGTGTACAGTTGTTATGTACTTTTCTTCCTTCGGTGCACGATGTGATTGTGATGGAGGTCACCGCAAGGGCACGAGTTACCTTTTTCCCGTGCAGTGGGTATAGTTACGGCCCGCCTAAGGTTGGCCACACCTGGGCGGCTGCCCCCATGCCCGCTCACCTCTTGTTCCATGTTCTTTGAGATAATCCTTCTACGCCGGGTTATGCATGTGTCAACTGCTTGGTGACATCTTTTTATGTAGGCATTGTTGGTCTGTCGGTGCAAGGCTCATGGCATTGCTGCTGTGAGCACACTCATCGGGGATGCAGTTTCGCATTCAAACCGAGCGCCCTCTTTGACAATGCTGCTGGCGGTGAACAGCAGACAAAAAGGACGACAGCAGGATCCCGGCTTGAGCCGTCGGGCCTAAAGTCCTTTCACCTTGTGCACTCATCTCCATTTCTTTGCATTGGAAAATTGAAAAATCGAAAAATAATTGTTCTATAACCCATCAATAATGAATCTACAACTAAGGAATAATCAAGGGGCTACCCCGATACTTCCCACCCCTCTCGGGAGATTTCCTGCCGCTGGCATGGCAGGTGCTATGCCAAGCTTTCCTCTTGGACACTATGTTCCGTTTGCTCATGCTCACATGTCAAACCGTCAGTCATCTGTCTCACATCGTGTGGATTGGCGTGCACACCTGGAGTGGAATACTAACTTGTGTTCTGCAGGAGGTTGGCGCAAGAAACAAATTTGTCTTGTTAACAGTGTTGTGCAGGCAGAGCGATTTGAGTTGCAACTGCGAGGTGTTGATCAACAACCCCTTGAACCAGGTATGGACCCCCTCACTGTTCAAGAAGTGATTTATGCAATTGCTCATTTGCCTTCAGGACATTTTTATGTTGTACAGACGATGCATTCTGCACATCAACGGCTGCAAGAGCATTGGCATTTCGTCACTGCCATCTCTACCATGCAATGTGTGGGCAACCAGCATTCAACTTTGCTGCTTGGCCCTTGGAATGCATCGATCCTACCCTTTATCATACGTTTGAAGGTCTTGTTGATAATGCCCGCTTTCGAGGGGCTGTTGCACCCCGCGAGGGTTTCTGTGTATGTGACAAACTGATGCCACCCACGCGTGTCCAATTTTGTAACTTCACTGATGTGGACTTGAGTGTTACTCCTAGCATGACCTTACTCGACTCCTATGATTGCGAATGTCGCAGAGCCTTTCCACATTGTTTTGATCTTGTGGATGACCATATTGTGTCTGTTGACTACAATGTCATCTCCGATGATAGCCTTCACAAGCTTTTTCAAGAAGGCTCGAAGTATCGGCTGAATGGGGAAACTGTCGATGTCCTCCAGGCATTGGCAGTTGGACTAGATGAGTACATTACCAATTACAAAAGGTTATTGGTCAGGCATTCTCGATCTGTTTCTTTCTCGTCTCTTTCTCAAAAGCTGAACAACTCGTGTTCTGCAATCCTTGTGCATTGTCAATCCAATGCCTCTTTGTTCTCCAATCATGTGAGCCAGCCACATTCACTACGTTCTACGCATGCCTCCTTGCACCATCTTCAACAACACTTGCCATTGTCCCTGTGGACAAACATCACACAATTTGGCAATTTGCTACAAGAATTGGTATTTGTTTCATCTCTCTACCCATTTGGACAGTCCCACTTATACTCGTCCTCGAGAGTCTGTTGCTGATGTCCTTAACCACCATGTAGTGTGGAATCACCATTGGGGTTACACCCACACTGATACGCTACCTTGCCTTTACTATGTACTCAAAGCGCACAAGTCTCCTCCAACTCTTCGCAGCATTCTTGGAGTCACAACACAAAATAACAGTGTCTTTCCCCCGCGTGCTCGCCCTCGTTCAACAATTCGCACCATTCATGAACGGCCTCCTCACAAACCCTTGGCTAGCACAACGACTACTTCATCGTATCTCAGCGCTGCTTTGCAAGGAGTGATCTCTACTCTTCGCGAGAAAGACATTGAGCTCTATCAACAGGTTGGTGTTCGACGGTGCTGGATCGTTCAGAGTTCCGATGAAGTGGCGATTGACCTAAAAAACAATGCATCGTCTCTTTGTGGCCTCTCTCCTCGCACTGTTGATTTTACCACAATGTACACCAACCTTCCTCATGACCACATTTGGAATAATGTGGCAAAAGTTGTTGATGAAGCTCATGCTTATGCCTTTCGGCAAGCTCACATGCATTCACTCAGCGTTGCCCTGAACATGGTTATTCGAGGACCTCGTTGTGGCCAATGGATAACTAATTCAGGCCCGGATAGCTTTTCTGTTTCTCAGATTCTCCAACATTTCGCTTTGTTGTACAAAACAATTTTCTATACATGAGAGATGGCACGCTTCAGAAACAAATTATCGGTATTCCAATGGGAACGAATGCTGGCCCATAAATTTTTAATCTGACGCTGTATTGGGATGAAGCACGCTTTGTTGATGACATTCGTCAACATGATCTTCAAGTTGCTCAAAAATATGCCTTCACCTATCGCCTCATTGATGATGTTCTTTCATGGGGACAATTACCTCCTCCACCAGAGCACTATGGGCTTGAGTGGAAGTAGACTACAACTACAAATGGCTCTTGTACCTTTTTAGGTATGCATCTGCGGGTCCGTTTCGATGGCTCGCTTCGCATGAGCGTCTTTGATAAAGCGGCTGCTTGGGACTTCCCTATCATTCGTTATCCAAGTGCGGCCTTCAACATCCCTTCCCATCAACTGGCTGGTGTGTTCACTAGGCAATTGACCAGATTTGAACAAATCTGTAACAATTGGCAAGACTTTCGAACGGCAGCAACAACACTTACTCGTCGTATGCTTTCGCGTGGGCATTCCCCACCACCTCTTGCTAAGGGGTGGACCTGCTACATGCGCTCCCGCCAACGTCGCTATCCTACGCATGTGACGCATCTCTCTCAGTGGTTCCGACGCATGTTGCGATGGTCCTTGTATCATCCAATTTCTTCTTTGTCCCCACGATGCTCCCGTCCTGCCCCTGCTTGTTCATCTGCTGCTACCGCAGTTTCCACTGCTGCAGTCTCCACTCCTGCAGTGTCCACTGCTGCAGTGTTCAGTAATGCGGTTTCCACTGCTGCAGTGTCCAATGTTGTGGTTTCCACTGCTGAAGTGTCCACTGCTGCAGTTTTCACTGCTCCAGATTCCACTGGTGCAGTGTCCACTGTTGCAGTTTCTACTGCTGTAGTTTTCATTGCTCCAGTTACCACTGCTCCAGTTTCCGCTGCTGCAGTTTCTACTGTTGCGGTTTCCATTACTGCAGTTTTCAGTACAACAGTTTCCCTAAATGTAATTCCCCCTACTTTAGTTTTTACTGCTACAGCTTCCTCTCCTACAGCTCCAATGCAAAGAACATCACAATCTCTCCGACGCTCACATCCTTTGCTCCGAAATCTTGTCCAATGCACCCTCCTCTCATCTTTGTCTATGCTTGGCAATAGACAACTGCGTTCCTCCTCACCACCCCCATCTCCTCCATGGTCTCACTTGCGAACAAACTCTCCAGTTTCCATTGTTCCCATTGTTCCACCTTCGTTGCTAGGTACAAGTTCAACTTTTGTTTGCAACACCACTATTCCTCTTGTTGTGTATCACTGACGACATCCACGACATTGCCACTTATCCGCGGATCAGCAACCTATTTCTTTGTCTGGCCCGATTCTCTCTATGCCTCCTCCACAAGTTGTTGCGGTTCCTTTGTTTCAAACGGTAATATTCGCTCCTATGCCTCCTGCAGACCATCCAGCTGCCTGCAAGCAGCCACTGTACCCTGCGTCAGTTATTCACGACTCCCTTGTACAACACGATGTGGTCCCTGCCCAGAGTACACTCCCGACTCCAGGTACAGTCCCTACTCAGGATGCAGCCGCTGCCCAGAGTACACTCCCAACTCCAGGTACAGTCCCTACTCAAGATGCAGCCCTACACGTTGAGGGATTGGAACATGATCTGCCCGGATTGCAGTTGACCCCACAAGGCGTAGACCACATGGGGGATCTATAAATGGCTGACCAACATTGTTCGAATGAGCCACAATTTTGTGCTCTCCCACGCGCAGACCACATGGGTGATCTGCAAATGACTGACCAGCAACAACCCAACACAGTTTGGGCTTGCAACACCATCAGGGCGATCTGCAAATTCTTGGCCAGCATCCAACAAACCAGCCTGAGAACCTCACCAATCTTTGTGGTCTGACATCAACTAATATTTGTCTTCACATTCTCCACCGCCCATTTTATACACTATCAAACTTCCTTGCAATCGCCCTTCAGCTTGATGACGATCTTCCCCAACGACAGCCAAAGGATTGTAATTATACCAGCGAAGGAGGCTTTACCATTGTTGTCCTACACGTAGCAATGAGGGACTGTCAACTTGAACTATGCAATGCTCGAGCAGGTGAGTGGTTTAATCCTCCATCCCACATCTCTGCCTGCATTGTGCACGGCCCTAGCCATTACATGTCCATTGTACATGCCTCTGACCACAGGGAGCTGTGGGACAACGGCACCATGGTCCATGCCATGATTGATGTCACTGATTTCTTGCACAACGATGTTGTTTTCTTGCCACAACAAACCGTCCGCAATCTCTTTTATGTCGAAGATCATTCCTCTGGCCCCGTGCTGCAGCAAGACAATGTACCAACACTCTACGACCTTCTCCTTTGCACAGCCACAAACACTGTTACACTCGGCTGTAGCCGCCATCGTCTCTGTCACAATCACTACAATGACATGGTTTCTGCATCCATGTGTGCAAAGGACTGTCCCACCGTTCCTGACTGCAGGTCCTCATCCGGACACTATATGTCCATTTTGTGGCCATGGGTGCTATACTGAATGAATGCCTTTTTGTGGTGACCGTTCTTCTTTCATTTTGGCCTGCAATCGACATGCCATTTGTCGGGGGTGTATGGTGGGCATGCTCAATGCCACCCGTCGTAGCAATTGTTGCACCGAGAATGCTCAGCTAGGTTTTCCATGTGTTCATCCACCTCATCCTTACAATGTATGTCCTCTCTGTCATCAAGGACAGACTCATTCTTGAGCCTTTTCTTACCCTCTTTTGCCTTCTTCTTCACTCCACACTCCATACTTTCCCTTACTTTCCCTTTATCGTTCTTTGTTTGTCTGCTCTCCATTCTCCTCCCTGTGTTTATCCCCTCCCCCTTCACTCTGCCTCTTTCTCACAGCGTACAAGTGGGCTGTTATGGCACACGGGGATGAGGGCAGCTCACGCTCAACTTCATCAACGTGGCGAGCCTTGTATGTGAGAGGCACGGTGAAAGGGGAGTCAAAAGAAGAGAAAAATGAATGGTTTCACTGTGCCCTTCATGTTTGTCTTATTTTTTTTATTTTTATTTTTGCCGTTTGTTTTGCAAAGTGCGCTTTTTTAGTTCATAGTTATGTGACAATATATGAGTTGGTAAACTCCGACGGAACAGTTTGTCATAGCCCCTCATTTGTTGTCCTCTTCTCCCTCTCTGCCTGTTACCGGGCAGCTCTGTTTGACGATATATATATTGGAGAAGAAATAGAAAGCAAGAAAGGGGGAAATACTAAAATAGACAAAACGTCACAAAAGGATAAAAAATAAGAGAACAGAGAAGGATGGTGTCAGTAACTTACCAGATATTCTTTGCCCAATATTTTGTTGTGCCGCCAACATCTCATTTCTTTGTGTCTTTGTGGAAAGGTGACAATGGTGACGCAAATCCAGAAAGCATGCAGTATCATCGCGACCGTCGACGATCACCAAGGATTATCATCATTGTTGAATAATTACCGTCGTCGTTATAGGCATAATGATTACCGGCGCAGCCAAGCAAGCCAACAGACAAAGAACCGCAGAAGCGCATTTCATCAGCCCCATCAGATCCAGCACCCGCCACACTTAGCCAGATTCTGCAACCCTCTGTTTTTCTCATCACTTTCCATTTTCCTTTTTTTTTTTTTTTTTTTTAAACAGAACCTGTCGGTTCTGGCTCCTGCCATTCTGGGGAGCAACAGTCCGGTTCCTATTCCCCCGGCAAGTCATAATTGGTTACAAAATTTACTCACACATGTTCCTCCCCATGATGGGTGGAAGGTCTGAGTGGGCGGCATTGATTACTTCCGTACGGAAGGATATACCACCCCTCCCCCCTGCCTAAGTTAGCCTATTCTACATCATCCCTCAATTGAACTCACCAACCCTGCACATTCTTTCCTCTCGGACTTTTCCATAAGAGCCTGCCATGTCATACGTGAAATTTTAGAAAGACTGGTATTGTCTGCCCTGTTTTCTATATCCTTTCCTCTCAGATTACTCCTGGTAACCTGCCATATAACTCATGAATATGAAGAAACTACCTTAGCACCCTCAATGTATTGGAATGTGGTCCCTATTGTTCCCCTATGCCATAATCACATTTGTATTCCCTTGACTTTTGTAAGACGAAGCTTGTATTTCCGGTACTGATTTCCGAGTATTATCTCCTTAAGACCCCAAACCCTACTTGCTTAAACCTTTAAACCTACCTGTATTCCTCTAGTGGTGTGCTTACTTCGCAGACATCATGACTTTGCAGTATCCTTTCCTGAAATCTTTCTTTTCTTCTCATTGCCAATATTCTCCAATAATCCTTTGCTATGAACCCTTTCCCTTTCTCTCANCCAAGCTTTCCTCTTGGACACTATGTTCCGTTTGCTCATGCTCACATGTCAAACCGTCAGTCATCTGTCTCACATCGTGTGGATTGGCGTGCACACCTGGAGTGGAATACTAACTTGTGTTCTGCAGGAGGTTGGCGCAAGAAACAAATTTGTCTTGTTAACAGTGTTGTGCAGGCAGAGCGATTTGAGTTGCAACTGCGAGGTGTTGATCAACAACCCCTTGAACCAGGTATGGACCCCCTCACTGTTCAAGAAGTGATTTATGCAATTGCTCATTTGCCTTCAGGACATTTTTATGTTGTACAGACGATGCATTCTGCACATCAACGGCTGCAAGAGCATTGGCATTTCGTCACTGCCATCTCTACCATGCAATGTGTGGGCAACCAGCATTCAACTTTGCTGCTTGGCCCTTGGAATGCATCGATCCTACCCTTTATCATACGTTTGAAGGTCTTGTTGATAATGCCCGCTTTCGAGGGGCTGTTGCACCCCGCGAGGGTTTCTGTGTATGTGACAAACTGATGCCACCCACGCGTGTCCAATTTTGTAACTTCACTGATGTGGACTTGAGTGTTACTCCTAGCATGACCTTACTCGACTCCTATGATTGCGAATGTCGCAGAGCCTTTCCACATTGTTTTGATCTTGTGGATGACCATATTGTGTCTGTTGACTACAATGTCATCTCCGATGATAGCCTTCACAAGCTTTTTCAAGAAGGCTCGAAGTATCGGCTGAATGGGGAAACTGTCGATGTCCTCCAGGCATTGGCAGTTGGACTAGATGAGTACATTACCAATTACAAAAGGTTATTGGTCAGGCATTCTCGATCTGTTTCTTTCTCGTCTCTTTCTCAAAAGCTGAACAACTCGTGTTCTGCAATCCTTGTGCATTGTCAATCCAATGCCTCTTTGTTCTCCAATCATGTGAGCCAGCCACATTCACTACGTTCTACGCATGCCTCCTTGCACCATCTTCAACAACACTTGCCATTGTCCCTGTGGACAAACATCACACAATTTGGCAATTTGCTACAAGAATTGGTATTTGTTTCATCTCTCTACCCATTTGGACAGTCCCACTTATACTCGTCCTCGAGAGTCTGTTGCTGATGTCCTTAACCACCATGTAGTGTGGAATCACCATTGGGGTTACACCCACACTGATACGCTACCTTGCCTTTACTATGTACTCAAAGCGCACAAGTCTCCTCCAACTCTTCGCAGCATTCTTGGAGTCACAACACAAAATAACAGTGTCTTTCCCCCGCGTGCTCGCCCTCGTTCAACAATTCGCACCATTCATGAACGGCCTCCTCACAAACCCTTGGCTAGCACAACGACTACTTCATCGTATCTCAGCGCTGCTTTGCAAGGAGTGATCTCTACTCTTCGCGAGAAAGACATTGAGCTCTATCAACAGGTTGGTGTTCGACGGTGCTGGATCGTTCAGAGTTCCGATGAAGTGGCGATTGACCTAAAAAACAATGCATCGTCTCTTTGTGGCCTCTCTCCTCGCACTGTTGATTTTACCACAATGTACACCAACCTTCCTCATGACCACATTTGGAATAATGTGGCAAAAGTTGTTGATGAAGCTCATGCTTATGCCTTTCGGCAAGCTCACATGCATTCACTCAGCGTTGCCCTGAACATGGTTATTCGAGGACCTCGTTGTGGCCAATGGATAACTAATTCAGGCCCGGATAGCTTTTCTGTTTCTCAGATTCTCCAACATTTCGCTTTGTTGTACAAAACAATTTTCTATACATGAGAGATGGCACGCTTCAGAAACAAATTATCGGTATTCCAATGGGAACGAATGCTGGCCCATAAATTTTTAATCTGACGCTGTATTGGGATGAAGCACGCTTTGTTGATGACATTCGTCAACATGATCTTCAAGTTGCTCAAAAATATGCCTTCACCTATCGCCTCATTGATGATGTTCTTTCATGGGGACAATTACCTCCTCCACCAGAGCACTATGGGCTTGAGTGGAAGTAGACTACAACTACAAATGGCTCTTGTACCTTTTTAGGTATGCATCTGCGGGTCCGTTTCGATGGCTCGCTTCGCATGAGCGTCTTTGATAAAGCGGCTGCTTGGGACTTCCCTATCATTCGTTATCCAAGTGCGGCCTTCAACATCCCTTCCCATCAACTGGCTGGTGTGTTCACTAGGCAATTGACCAGATTTGAACAAATCTGTAACAATTGGCAAGACTTTCGAACGGCAGCAACAACACTTACTCGTCGTATGCTTTCGCGTGGGCATTCCCCACCACCTCTTGCTAAGGGGTGGACCTGCTACATGCGCTCCCGCCAACGTCGCTATCCTACGCATGTGACGCATCTCTCTCAGTGGTTCCGACGCATGTTGCGATGGTCCTTGTATCATCCAATTTCTTCTTTGTCCCCACGATGCTCCCGTCCTGCCCCTGCTTGTTCATCTGCTGCTACCGCAGTTTCCACTGCTGCAGTCTCCACTCCTGCAGTGTCCACTGCTGCAGTGTTCAGTAATGCGGTTTCCACTGCTGCAGTGTCCAATGTTGTGGTTTCCACTGCTGAAGTGTCCACTGCTGCAGTTTTCACTGCTCCAGATTCCACTGGTGCAGTGTCCACTGTTGCAGTTTCTACTGCTGTAGTTTTCATTGCTCCAGTTACCACTGCTCCAGTTTCCGCTGCTGCAGTTTCTACTGTTGCGGTTTCCATTACTGCAGTTTTCAGTACAACAGTTTCCCTAAATGTAATTCCCCCTACTTTAGTTTTTACTGCTACAGCTTCCTCTCCTACAGCTCCAATGCAAAGAACATCACAATCTCTCCGACGCTCACATCCTTTGCTCCGAAATCTTGTCCAATGCACCCTCCTCTCATCTTTGTCTATGCTTGGCAATAGACAACTGCGTTCCTCCTCACCACCCCCATCTCCTCCATGGTCTCACTTGCGAACAAACTCTCCAGTTTCCATTGTTCCCATTGTTCCACCTTCGTTGCTAGGTACAAGTTCAACTTTTGTTTGCAACACCACTATTCCTCTTGTTGTGTATCACTGACGACATCCACGACATTGCCACTTATCCGCGGATCAGCAACCTATTTCTTTGTCTGGCCCGATTCTCTCTATGCCTCCTCCACAAGTTGTTGCGGTTCCTTTGTTTCAAACGGTAATATTCGCTCCTATGCCTCCTGCAGACCATCCAGCTGCCTGCAAGCAGCCACTGTACCCTGCGTCAGTTATTCACGACTCCCTTGTACAACACGATGTGGTCCCTGCCCAGAGTACACTCCCGACTCCAGGTACAGTCCCTACTCAGGATGCAGCCGCTGCCCAGAGTACACTCCCAACTCCAGGTACAGTCCCTACTCAAGATGCAGCCCTACACGTTGAGGGATTGGAACATGATCTGCCCGGATTGCAGTTGACCCCACAAGGCGTAGACCACATGGGGGATCTATAAATGGCTGACCAACATTGTTCGAATGAGCCACAATTTTGTGCTCTCCCACGCGCAGACCACATGGGTGATCTGCAAATGACTGACCAGCAACAACCCAACACAGTTTGGGCTTGCAACACCATCAGGGCGATCTGCAAATTCTTGGCCAGCATCCAACAAACCAGCCTGAGAACCTCACCAATCTTTGTGGTCTGACATCAACTAATATTTGTCTTCACATTCTCCACCGCCCATTTTATACACTATCAAACTTCCTTGCAATCGCCCTTCAGCTTGATGACGATCTTCCCCAACGACAGCCAAAGGATTGTAATTATACCAGCGAAGGAGGCTTTACCATTGTTGTCCTACACGTAGCAATGAGGGACTGTCAACTTGAACTATGCAATGCTCGAGCAGGTGAGTGGTTTAATCCTCCATCCCACATCTCTGCCTGCATTGTGCACGGCCCTAGCCATTACATGTCCATTGTACATGCCTCTGACCACAGGGAGCTGTGGGACAACGGCACCATGGTCCATGCCATGATTGATGTCACTGATTTCTTGCACAACGATGTTGTTTTCTTGCCACAACAAACCGTCCGCAATCTCTTTTATGTCGAAGATCATTCCTCTGGCCCCGTGCTGCAGCAAGACAATGTACCAACACTCTACGACCTTCTCCTTTGCACAGCCACAAACACTGTTACACTCGGCTGTAGCCGCCATCGTCTCTGTCACAATCACTACAATGACATGGTTTCTGCATCCATGTGTGCAAAGGACTGTCCCACCGTTCCTGACTGCAGGTCCTCATCCGGACACTATATGTCCATTTTGTGGCCATGGGTGCTATACTGAATGAATGCCTTTTTGTGGTGACCGTTCTTCTTTCATTTTGGCCTGCAATCGACATGCCATTTGTCGGGGGTGTATGGTGGGCATGCTCAATGCCACCCGTCGTAGCAATTGTTGCACCGAGAATGCTCAGCTAGGTTTTCCATGTGTTCATCCACCTCATCCTTACAATGTATGTCCTCTCTGTCATCAAGGACAGACTCATTCTTGAGCCTTTTCTTACCCTCTTTTGCCTTCTTCTTCACTCCACACTCCATACTTTCCCTTACTTTCCCTTTATCGTTCTTTGTTTGTCTGCTCTCCATTCTCCTCCCTGTGTTTATCCCCTCCCCCTTCACTCTGCCTCTTTCTCACAGCGTACAAGTGGGCTGTTATGGCACACGGGGATGAGGGCAGCTCACGCTCAACTTCATCAACGTGGCGAGCCTTGTATGTGAGAGGCACGGTGAAAGGGGAGTCAAAAGAAGAGAAAAATGAATGGTTTCACTGTGCCCTTCATGTTTGTCTTATTTTTTTTATTTTTATTTTTGCCGTTTGTTTTGCAAAGTGCGCTTTTTTAGTTCATAGTTATGTGACAATATATGAGTTGGTAAACTCCGACGGAACAGTTTGTCATAGCCCCTCATTTGTTGTCCTCTTCTCCCTCTCTGCCTGTTACCGGGCAGCTCTGTTTGACGATATATATATTGGAGAAGAAATAGAAAGCAAGAAAGGGGGAAATACTAAAATAGACAAAACGTCACAAAAGGATAAAAAATAAGAGAACAGAGAAGGATGGTGTCAGTAACTTACCAGATATTCTTTGCCCAATATTTTGTTGTGCCGCCAACATCTCATTTCTTTGTGTCTTTGTGGAAAGGTGACAATGGTGACGCAAATCCAGAAAGCATGCAGTATCATCGCGACCGTCGACGATCACCAAGGATTATCATCATTGTTGAATAATTACCGTCGTCGTTATAGGCATAATGATTACCGGCGCAGCCAAGCAAGCCAACAGACAAAGAACCGCAGAAGCGCATTTCATCAGCCCCATCAGATCCAGCACCCGCCACACTTAGCCAGATTCTGCAACCCTCTGTTTTTCTCATCACTTTCCATTTTCCTTTTTTTTTTTTTTTTTTTTAAACAGAACCTGTCGGTTCTGGCTCCTGCCATTCTGGGGAGCAACAGTCCGGTTCCTATTCCCCCGGCAAGTCATAATTGGTTACAAAATTTACTCACACATGTTCCTCCCCATGATGGGTGGAAGGTCTGAGTGGGCGGCATTGATTACTTCCGTACGGAAGGATATACCACCCCTCCCCCCTGCCTAAGTTAGCCTATTCTACATCATCCCTCAATTGAACTCACCAACCCTGCACATTCTTTCCTCTCGGACTTTTCCATAAGAGCCTGCCATGTCATACGTGAAATTTTAGAAAGACTGGTATTGTCTGCCCTGTTTTCTATATCCTTTCCTCTCAGATTACTCCTGGTAACCTGCCATATAACTCATGAATATGAAGAAACTACCTTAGCACCCTCAATGTATTGGAATGTGGTCCCTATTGTTCCCCTATGCCATAATCACATTTGTATTCCCTTGACTTTTGTAAGACGAAGCTTGTATTTCCGGTACTGATTTCCGAGTATTATCTCCTTAAGACCCCAAACCCTACTTGCTTAAACCTTTAAACCTACCTGTATTCCTCTAGTGGTGTGCTTACTTCGCAGACATCATGACTTTGCAGTATCCTTTCCTGAAATCTTTCTTTTCTTCTCATTGCCAATATTCTCCAATAATCCTTTGCTATGAACCCTTTCCCTTTCTCTCAATGCCATTAGWCTCCAAAGTTGCTTTGCTTCTTGCTAAGGTCAGCCGTTTGCGATTCTATCTTAWCCTGTGATCCTTTGCTTGCACTTCACTCATGACCTTCACCTTTCTAATCATTGACTTCCCTTGTTCATGGTGAAGCCAGTTGCTGTGTCTGCCCCTGGTGTCCGTTWGCCATGTCTTGCTGGYCTTCTCTGAACCAACAGAAGCTTAACCTGTGCCCCTCCATTGTGGCTATTTTACCTTCAGCCAAAACTTTGYYGTAGAATTTGTTGAGAATGTCTTTCGCCTTTTCTGGGCTAGCCGCTGCCTGTTTCTTTGCTCGCTGCCATTGAGCTATAATGTCCGTCTGTAGCAGATTATGTAGTGTTGCTCTAGCTTCCATTCTAGTTGACAGGCTTTTACCTATGACTTGTTGGCATCTTCTTTTCCATATTGTCCATAATGTGTATTGTCTCAGTAACTGGTAAATACACTTATGGTTTGAGTTCCAACCTGTTGGAACTTCAGTTCCTGTGAGATGGAGTTTTTTACTCCTTGGAAATGAAAGTTCCGTGATGCGTCCCCACAGGGTTCGAGCTATAGACCAAATATACTCCGCTTCCGGGCAGAACAGAAGACAGTGAAGCAGCGTTTCGGGTACTCCTTCCGTGCACATGACGCAGTTTTGCTCACTCGCATCTCTGTTGTTTCTGCTTCGTTTTTCGTACAGCCAGGCGTTAACTGGGAGTGCGACATGAAATATGATACACTGCATACTTCGGACTTTATTCAGCCTAATGCTGTGCAGAATTGACCACGGCAATTTTCCTATTTGCTGTCTTGATATTCCCACCCTCTTTTCCCATCCCATTGCTAGGGATTGATCCTTCTTAGCTGATCTCTTTCTTAACCTATATCCCCATTTAGTAGTGTAGTGGAGTACGTTAACTCTCTTAACTACTCTTGACCCATTCCCTTTAATATTCCATGCCCAATGTGCTGGATCAATTTCCAGATCTTGGATAGGTGTTGTAGGAGCAAAAATTGTGAACTCRTCAGTCTCGATCACCCTGACTTTCGTAAGGAAACTTTTATTGACGGCTATTGGAACCCGTGTCTCTTTGTCCAATAGACTAACCATAAAGCCTGGGTTCAGGATTGGATACATGTCTGCCTCTCGCCACTGATTGGCTGGGCCTACCTCCTGGTGAATGCGGAACGAGTGATCTGGTTCCGGGCTTGAGGTCCAAGTTGCCCAGTCACCCCTGCCCCATTTGAACGGGTCCCTCAATATTTGTGTCCATGCTTGGGGTATGGAGGTAAGCACTTCATTTAAATTTTCGGTTAGTCCGTGACAATAACCCTCTGTTTTTCTCATCACTTTCCATTTTCCATTTTCTGTTTTTCTTTCTTTTTCTGGCTCTTCAGCTGAATAATCAAAAACTTACAAAAAGTGTTTCAGTCTTTCAGAGCAATACTGAATTTGCCAAAAAGTGGCAAAAACAGTACGTACTATGTAGTGTGTAGTACTCTTTAGTATTTCATATTTACTATTTAGAGTTTACTTAGATGCTTGGCCACAAACAGGCTATTCCGGTTTGGCTCTATGTCCATTCTGGGTTTGTCAGTCCGGTTCCTATTCCACTGGCAAGTCAAAGGAAT